ATAGGCCTTGGGTTACTGCTGGTAATCCTGTCTTCCTCTTGTAGGGTTAGAGGAGGTCAGAACACTAAATGTATAGTTCATTTAAACTATGAAAGGCTCCTAAGTATTCAAAACCACAAGCAACACTCTCCATAGCCAATCTCTTTAAAACTTTTGGTAAAACCAGTAAAAGGTTTCAGAAAGTCTACCAATTTTATCAGCACTTACAAGCTTAACAGTTTCACAAGTAATATATGCATTCTTGTACCCAAAACCAGCAAAATAAAACACAATACTAGAAAAGTTACATGAAAATACTCACAGATTCCAAAGAGGTTGTTGGTATGAGATAAGGATCATCCTGAAATGCATAAGGGGCAGCTGTGGTGTCCTGTGGAGAAGATAGAGAAGTCACTTAAGCTAGATTTTTATTAAGAGGACTTTGTGAGTTCTAGTGATGATCAAAAATTCTGTAAAAGAAGTTTTAATTATATATGTAACATGCATGTAAACTATTTATGTATGTGTATGTACACATACACACACACACAGAACACATACGCTAATATCTATACTGTTCTCTTAGTTCTTCAAGACTTGGGCATAATTATGCAGAACTTAAAGTCAACAAATGCTCACCTATAGACTGCTTCTTTTAAGAGCCAAGTCTTGCTATCATCAGAACTACTGCATTTTCAAACTCTAAGTAATAATCCTCTGAATTAGCTAGTGCTGGACTAGGCTTTCCTTCAAAGCATGATCATTATTCATACCATGCTCAACTTCATCTTAGAATCCCTCTTCCAAATGGGCAAGGATACTACTGGGCCCTCAGTGGGAACAGCAGCGGTTTCTCCACATCCTATTACCTAAGGTTCTATACTGGAAATTTTCTAGGTAGAATTCTTTGCAAAATCAATTCCCTAGCACAACCAAAGGTCACACTTGGAACTGTCCCAAAATTATTTTTGCTATTCCTCTTCTCTCTCTGAATCCTCTTTCCTGGGCCTTTGGGAACATCTGCTTCATAGGAAAAAAAAAAAAAAAATTCACCCATAATCTATTCTGACTGTACTCTTGCCAGCTTATCTTACTGACCTAGACTCTCCCGAGAGAAGTGCTCACCTGCAGCTCTCAATGGTAGGTTGCTCATATCTGGGGTCTGAAGTCTATATATAAAACCCTAAAACCAAACTTACTGCTGTTGAGTCGATTCCGACTCACAGCGACCCCTCCTTGGGTTTCCGAGGCGGTATTTCTAGGGAAGTAAATTGCCCAGTCTTCCTTCCAAGGAGTGGTGGGTTTGAACCACCAGCCTTCGGGTTAGCAGTAAAGTGCCTTAGACACTACGCCACCAGACCTTTTATTTATATACATATATATGTACACACACACACACACTATATTTCTCCTAGCTTCCTGCTGCCACTTTCAAAGTCCCTCTCCCTCCACACTCATTTCATCTTCAGTTAAGTGCTTGGCTGTTAACCCAGTGGTTCTGTAAGACAAAGACCTGGCAGTATGCTTCTGTAGAGATTATAGCCAAGATAACCTTATGGAGCAATTTTAATCTGTCACATGGGGTCACTATGAGTCGGAATCAACTTGACAGCACCCAATGACAACATACCACTCTCTAGCAAGATGTAGCAGGTATGTAAAGGCAAGTTAGAGAGCAGCTCTAAGCTAACTGCTCTGGACTACTCTGATGACACAAAAACTGATCCATGCCTCTGCCACTGTTTCTCTCTATCACCCTTAGATACTTGCTTAGGTATCTAAACAAAAACTCTTAATTCTGGTGAAATGCTGGACTTCTTTTAACTTACTGGACTTAGTCTTTCTATTTGCCTCTCAACTCTTCTCTCTCAATGAATTTCACATTCTCCATGGTCTCAGAGAAACAACTTCTCCAGTCTGGTCCTATAGTACAGACATCTCAAACTAAATTTGTCCCCAAACTGAACTTGCCTGACAAACCTACTTTTCCTCCTATCTTCTCCATTGCTGTGACTGGCACTAACCACCCTAAAATTGAACCCACAGACTTTCTCCCCTTATTCCCATTCAATTATTTTGAGAGGGTTCTCATCATTCTCAGAATTGTTAAGAGTGCGTCACTGCCGAAAATATACAATGTAGATATTTGTTAGACAACTGCTTTCCTTCTGGAAGCATGAAATTTTGTTACATGGTAGGCAGAGGGTGCCTACCTGACAAAACTAATGGCTGTCAAGTTGATTTCAACTCATAGCAACTCATGTGTGCCACGACAGAACGATGCTCCACAGGGTTTTCAATGGCTTTGGCTCCACTGGGTGAACTACAACCTCTAATCTTTCGGTTAGCAGTGCAGCACATTAAAACCATTTGTACCACTTAGGGACTCCTCCTACGTCATGTGACTAAAACCCCCAATAAGCCCCAAACCCACTGCCAGAGTCAATTCCAACTTATAGCGACCTCAATGAGTTTCTGAGGCCATATATCTCTATAGAAGCAGACTGGTGTCTTTCTTCCTTCTGCTGAGTGCCTGGTGATTTTGAACCACCAACCTTCTGGTTAGCAGTCAAATGCCTTAGGCACTACGCCACCAGATCTCCTTGCTTCCATGACTAGTCCCCAGTAATAACCCTGGGAACTGAGTCTCTAATGAATTTTCCTAGTACACATTTCACACACATCACAACTCACTGCTGGAAGAAACTGTGCCTGTGTGACTCCACAGAAGCTCTGATGGCACAGGGACTGCTAACCAGAAGGTTAGAGGTTCAAACCCACCAGCCACTCTGCAGAAGGAAGATGGGGCAATCTACTTCCATAACGATTTACTGCCTTGGAAACCCAAAGGGGGTGACTATAAGTTGGAATAGACTCAAAAGCAGAGTTTGGTTTTGGTGTGTGACTCCACTGGGTAAGGACTCTTGGAAGTTTATGCCTGGAATCCTCTGACTTTACCCAATGCACTTTTCCCTTTGCTGATTTTGCTTTGTAATCCATTGCTTTAATAAATCTCAGTCATAAACACAATTATAGCTGAGAGTCCTCCTAGTAAATCATTGAGCTTGGGAATGGTCGTGGGGACTTCCAACAGAGATTATTTTGAAGGAAGAAACAAAGGATTTGCTAATGTGCAGCATGAAAGAAAGGAGAGCCAAAGACAACTCCCTCATTACTGTGACAGCAAAAAACGTGCAAGGAGTAGGCCTGCAGGGTTTTGGACATGTTCATTTTGACATGATTATCATACCTTCAGGTGGAAACATTTCCCATTCTCTTTTCTAAAATTTGTCTGATTATGTCAGACAAATGCATAAAACTTCTTCTACTTTTTTTTTCCTGTTCTTTCATGCTTAAACAAAGCATTTGCTTAACATTTTCCAGAGGACTTAGCTAAAAATCAGAAATCCTCAGTATGGTATTCATGATCTTGCCTTATCTTTCATTCCTCTACCTCTCAAATTCTCAATTCCAACCACATGAAACTACTACTTAGCCTACATCTTTTGCTTCTGTTCACAGTGGTGCCTCTGGTGGAAAGCTCTTTCCCACTACCACCTCCTTCTCATTTTCCAAGCATCAGTCCAATTATCACTTATTCTGGGAAGTCCTCTCCTACTCTGGGTTAAGAACCCTCTTTCTCAGTGCTTCTATAATAGCCCAGGGTAACTGTCTCCATTACCAAAATCCTCATTTTATCTTTCAGTGTCCTTCTCTAAGCCCTACTCACAGATTATGTGTCTTAATTCTACAGTCTAGCACAGTGCTAAGGAGCTCTGGTGGTATAGTGGTTAAAACAATTGGCTGCTAACCAAAAGGCCAGTGGTTCAAACCCACCTACCACCTGCAGAAAGATGAGGCAGTCTGCTTCCATAAAGATTTACAATCTTGGAGACCCTATGGGGCAGTTCTACTCTGTCCTATGGGTCTCTATGAGTCAGAATCTATTTCTATCTGGTTTGCTACAGTGCTTGGTAAGTATTACAAGGGTACAACATACAATTGGTGAATAATTACTTACATTTTAAGGGCAAGTATGTCACACAATTCTACTTGTGACTTGAAGGTGGCCCCGGGCCATTCAGGGAGACTTGGCTGTGCAATCGTTAAGCACTTGGGCGCTAACCAAAAGGTCATCAGTTTGACCTAACCAGTCACTCAGGAGGAATTACCTGGTAATCTGCTCCAGTAAAAATTACAGCCTAAGAAACTCTATAGGGTGGTTCTATTCTCTCCTATAGGTCATGGAGTTGGAACCGACTAAATGGCACACAGCACACACACTGCACCAGTCTCATTAAAAGAGTAAGACCATCTCAAAGACTTATAGTTTACATTTCAAGTGCCTATTTATAGATAAGTGAACTGCTGAAAATCTCAATGCCTTGCAAGTGGGGAAACACAGTATTAAAAAACCCTTCCTTAGCAACTGCTAAAGTGTATCAGTACACATTTGACCTAACATCCCATATTTAACATCTATAATAAAAGAAAAACTCTGGATATTTGTGATAATGGTCTGAAGGGTCAGTATCTGTGGTAGTTATGTTTGTGTGTCAACTTGGCTGGGCCTGGTAGAGAGGCTAGGCGGCTGGTGGTAGTTATTCCCCATGATGAGACTGGCAATCGACTCCATGGTGGGATCTACCACAGGCAGCTGAGTAGCTGCCTTTGGGATGTGGTTTGCTTCCTGTATATAAGGAGAAGCCTTGGGAATGGTCTCTAGCCTATGGCACACTTGGACCCTGCACGTAGCCCTGTCGTTGCTCAGCAGCCTGCTATGGTCTGCCAACCTTGGGACTTACGATGGACTTAAGTTAATGGCCTGCCGTGTGGTTTGGTAACATCGGGACTGTGCCTTTTTACTTGTCAATCTTGGGCTTCTCAGCCTCAGCAGCCAGCAGCTGTCTGAGTGAAGAAAGCCTCTAGCTTCAGTGGGCCAGAAGCTGGGGGCAGAGCTGAAGCCCAAGGCTGAGAGGCTTTTTCACCCAGCCCCTAAAGCTTGGCACTTTGAACTTGGACTTAAAGCCTCCAAATTGTAAGAATAAACTCCTGTTTAAGGCCATCCCATTCATGGTACATTTCTTCTCAGAGCAGCACTAGGTAACCAGAACAGTATCCATATTGTGGCAGAAGGGACTTTATTATTTTGTATTACTTCCCCTAGACTCAAAATTAAAAGTTGTTTCCAGTTAATGATAAACAATCAGGGTTTCAGTGTATCTATCAGACTCTAAACGCTATTCCTGAATTGCCAACAAAGTAATTTTTGAAAAGTAAAAAGAAATCAACAAGAAAAGTAGAAATAATGAAGTAGCTAGCATTTCCTGAACCTTTTTTTTTGGTGCCAGGCACTGGTCCTAAACTCTTTTATATATAGTAACTCACTTAATTCTTACCCTAACCCTGATTTTGGTGCTATAATCAATCCTCATTTTATAGATCAGGAAACAGAAGCATTCCAAGGTAAAGTCACTTGCTCGAGATCACAAAGCTAGTGCTTGGCTATGCAACTAAACATTTGGTTCCAGGACTAACATTCTTACTTGCTGCATTATTTCTAGCATGGCAGATGCAGTATTTCTTCAGGTTGTTCTAACCATTACCTGAATTTTAGTCATCACACCCAAACCATCCCTCAGGAACATGCATTTCAACAAGTTTTCAGATGATGTCATTTAAGATTACTGATATAGAAAGAGAACACTGAATCTGGGGACAAAAGACATGGACAAAAGTCAAAGCTTTAACATCCTAACCAGCCCTGGGCCAGTCACTTACACTGTTTAAAAGACTTAGTTTCCTCATCTGTCAAATGAAAAGAATGAATTAGATAATTTCAAAGAAACTCTCTAGATTCACAGCAGTTGAATTCTGAATAATAAAGAGGTATGGACATTACATTACTTATATTCAATACAAAACCCTAAAAGTCCTACTTACCCTGTTTACTGTGGATGCAAGTGCCTGAAGAACTGCCACTTTATCCCTAAGAATGAGAATCATACATTAACCACAGAGCTTCTCATATCAAAGAACCAAGTGATTCTACTCAATAGACTGCCCGATTAAAAATACAAGTCTCAAATAGAAGAAGTATTTTCTCTCAAGATCACCAAAGTAGTAACAGAACAGGAAATGAGAAAACTGCCTAGTTTTTTGCTTAAAGGTGGTGAGTACACATTCCTAATATACTCTCCCTGCAAACCCTGGGTTTCATTTTCACTCCTATGCTATATTCAGTAAGTTTCATTTTCAAAAGGGAAATAATTATAGTAAGTTTAACAAACCAAAAGTATTTTTCTAAACAAAGTCTAACATAACATCCATAAGAATATGTCACCTGAAAAAGATAAACTATCATACAGGAAATCTTGTATTACATTCAAACTAATAATTGTCAGATGTGTATAATATCTACTGGGTTTTCCACCCATTTTTTGAAGTCACGTAATTTCAGGCAAGAATGACAAAATACATATTCTCTCATCTCTCAGCATTCCCTAACTAAATCTGGTTAAGTTAGCACATCTTCAAATCTTACTAAACTATAAGCCAGTAAACAAAACTATGGCATTCAGATCACTCCAACTCTCTTCTCTAACAGAGTTATTTTAAAATGCAATCATATTATCCTTAAAAAATAAATGAAAATATCACAAGTTAAGCTAAAGTGTCTGGTGTCATCTTGTGACCCCCATTCTTCCATGAATTTGGTGTTTATACTTCCACAACTTTAAAAATTACTTTTGTAAACACATACTTCCACACAAAATACATCATTCTATATTTGTTTATCTAAGAGTGATTATACTATCTGCACTATTACAGACAGATCTAATTAATTCATCGAAATGTTGTTTTTGGGTGGTACTGAGTTAATTTTTGACTCACAGTGACTCCATGTGGCAAGACTAGAACCACTCTGTAGGGTTTTCTTAGCTGTACTCGTTATGGAAGCAGATCACCAGGTCTTTCCCCCATGAAGCTGCTGGGTGGTTCAAACCATCTCAGAGTTTGTAACCAAATACTTAACCACTGCGTCACCACAGCTTTGTATGGCACAATAATCACTACCTATACCTTTAATAGCAGTTAGGTCATTTCAATTTGTTACCATTAGCAACTTATAAAGAACATTTTCATCCATATTTTCTTGTGCATGCAAGTAATTCCCCAGAATCGTTTACCAGTAAGGTATGCACATTTTAACTTTTGAATATGTCAAATTTTCTTCCAAAGGAGTTCCAATTTACAGTCCCCATCAACAAATGCATTTAAGCACCCATTTCCCCACATCTCTCCTTGCCAATCTGATCAAGTTTAATATGCATTTCTTTTATAAGCCCAGTTTATTTGCACATTGATCACAGTTAGGCTTCCCGCCCTCCCTAAATTACTATATAATTCAGATTAACCTGTTCAAAACATGGCATATATCATCAATGAAATATGAAAACTCACAATGACTCTATACAGCTTTTATTAAAGTCTTCTATATGGCACCTGTGTGACCTGGGAAATCACAGCCTTAAAATATGCTTTGTCTCTAATAATAAGGCAACAGGACTCCACAGTCCTATGGCTTCCTCCAGGTCTGAAATTATGGATTCCTGAGCCTAGAAATCAACCACTCTCTATCAGGGGCTGACACAATTTTTAAGTAAATGGATAGACAATAAATATTTTAGGCTTGTACACCACACGGTCTCTGTTGAAGAACTACTGAGCCTTGCCCCTATAGTACAAAAGCAAAATTAGACAATACATGTAGAAATGTGTGAGGCTGCATTCCAGTAAAACTTTAATTGACCCTAAAATCTGAAATTCATATATTTTTCTTATGTCCAAAATAATCATCTTCTGATTTTCAAAAACTACTACAAAAGGGTAAAAATCACCTTAACTTATGGGTAGTATAAAAACCAGATCTTAGTTTGCCAGCCCATCCTGTGAATCAACTACCTAATATCCCCTATTTTAACAAAACATTCTTCACAGGCCTGCTTGCCCTCCTCCTTCTATTCAGTATGTCATGCTTGTGCCCCACCCTACCTTATTTTAGGATTCACAAGAATTGCCTGTGGGAAAAGCCATTTTAACAAAATCCAATCCCCCAAGCATTTCCAATGACAACAGTCCCTTTTTTAAGGTATAGCTAAATTTCTAAATTTTCAACAAAATTTATCTTAATGAAATACTACCTCCTCTTTCCTGAATGTCTAGTCTTGCTTTGCACTACTCAATCCCACTTTTACTTACATCATATCTTGGGTTCCTACTAGTTACATATAAGATTATTACATATACATGTGACACAAATATAAAGTTATGTTTGCGTATGACCCAACTAGATCATAATCCACCTAAGACAACATGTACCAAATACTCTTTCACTTGTATTCCCCGTAGTACCTCTTTGAGAGACAAGGCATAACGGTTTGATAAAGTACTTTGTACATGAATGCCATTCTGAGAAACACCACATTCAAGGAAATGTGTATTCCTACCCTTGCTGATTCTTAAGCCAGAAAAGACAAGCATGAATCTGAATACAGTCATAAACTGAAATACTATGTAATCATTAAAAATCAAAAGCAGAGTAGAATGGTACATGTAATTCAATTCTATTAAATAAAATTTTCATGTGCAATTTATCTTTTAAAAAGTACTTTAAATATAGAAAGTATAAAGTTTATACCAAAACTTTAAATTATAACAACAACAAAAAAATCAAACTCACTGCTGTTGGGTCCGAGCCAACTCACAGCAACCCTTTCTTGGGTTTCCGAGGCAGTGTCATTACAGAAGTAGATTGCTCAATCTTCCTTCTGAGGAGTGGCTGGTGAGTTTGAACCACCAGCCTTCTGGTTAGCAGTTAAATGCCTTAGGCACTATGCCACCAGAGCGCCTTTAAATTATAACAGCTATCATTTATCGAACATGACTGCCACTGTTCAAAATGCTCATTTAACCTTTTAAGATGGTATCATCAATACCTTCAACTTACTATGGCACGTACAGATTAAGCAATGTGCCTCTGGGTAGTGGGAATGCTGTCAATTTTCTTTCCTTTTTACATGTTAGATTTATTATCCCATTCTCCTTTTTCTATAATTTAGGAAAGGTTTTTTTTTTTTAGATGAGTACGCAGGCCATACTCAGGCCTGGCTTTTTGAGGGGGCCTTTAAATGCATTCAATAATGCATTACTATAATGACTTTTGTGCAAAAGTTTTAAGTCTTAGATATTCAACAAAGGTTGATAATGATAAGACAATTTATTCAAGAGTATGCCCAGTGAATAAAAAAGCTAAGTTTGAAGTCCACACCAACTTATTTGACTTCATTAAAGACTGTAAGTAACATAAATGTCTGGTCTCCCAATCAAATGAGAGATAATTTCCATAAAATGTTATTCTAATGGTAGTGCTCATAATTGACCCGTATGATGCAAATATCATGTCATACAGATCTCTTAATTTTCCATTTAACTCTTATTCCCTTTCACTCAATACTTTCCACCTTCCTCCTTTCTGTTCTTTCAACTATCAAGCTTTCCTCACTTTAGCTCTTCTCTTTTCTAGAAAGCTTTCCATTGCTCTTCATATCACTGCCTCCTTACCTAGCCCTTTATGTCCAATCACATCACATTTCCTTCATAGCACTTCTCAGCATCTAGAAGAATTAACTGTTTATCTGTTTACTGACTAATCCCTTCTACTAGAATTATAAGTGCCTCGAGGCAAGGACCTTGTCTGGCTTTTTATTCCCGTATCTCTAACACCTAAAATTATGTTTCATCTATAATAAGCTCTCACTCATGTTGAATGAACATTGATTTGAATACTCACCAAATTTTCTTTTTTGGAATGACCACTTCTTCAACACCTTAATGTGAAAAGCAAAACAAAGTGAATCAAAGTTTCCTATTATTACTATAAAGAAATAAAATGTGTTGATCTAAAAATGTAATTATTTAAATAGACTTTCTACATACTTGCTATATCAGCTCCTTCAACCTTTGGGAGGGGTGCACTTCCAGAATAAAATCTGCAAAACACAAATTACAAAAGTTAATGTTCATTAACGAAGTCCCCAGTTCACCTCTACCTACATGTATTTCGAGTCCAAATTTTTCAATACCATGGATCAAACTGACTGGAAAATTTATATCAATGTATGCTGAATACTTCTCTCTACTGAGGATATTTCAGAAAGAATCAACTCTCAAATTATGCTATTTTTTTCTCATGACATGAAGACACAATCCACTGCTGTCAGGCAAAGGAAATGGGCAGAAAAAATGTCAACACTAGGCACTAAAAAAGAAAAGGAGGACTACGGCTGAACAGCACATTAAAGCTTCTGCAACACTCAGAGCGACTTTTCTCTTCTTTGAGAAACACTAAGAGAAGATGTTTTACATATATAATATTTAAACGACCTTCACCTACAGTTTTTTGGATGGCTGTACTAGTTCCAAGGATCCTTGGTGGTGTAGTGGTTAAACAGTTGGCTACTAACACAAAGACTGGAGGTTTAAATCCACCAGCAGCTCCGTGAGAAAGATGTGGCAGTCTGCTTCATAAAGATGTGCAAGCCTTGAAAATCCTACAGAGTACGAGTCAGCATCAACAGATAGCAATGGGTCTTAATATTACTGAACACTACAACTGCTAACCAGAAGCGTGACGGTTCAAACCCACCAGCCACTCCTCGGAAGGAGACTGGGTTATCTACTTCCGTAGTGATACTGCCTCGGAAACCCAAGGAGGGGGGTCACTGTGAGTCGGATTCGACTCAATGGTAGTGAGTTAGTTCCACTCTACAGATGAGGAAATCTGTCCACTGTCACACAACTGAGGAAGAAGCAAACACCGCGTTCAAAATTAAATTTTTCTCAACTTTCTACTACAAGTTAAGGCTTCTTGTATTTTTCCCAAAGCCACTGAGTGAAAAAAAAGAAAAAAAGTGATGTCTCAAACTGTAACAAGCACAGCATTCCAATCGGAGTGGACCTGCTCAGATCCTGCTTTTATGATAAACTGTTGATTTCTTTAACTAAACATCCCCGTAACATCAGAGAAACAGTGGCGCTCATATATTCTCTCTTAATTTGGGAAAACGTACAGCGTTCTCCCCCAAGGGGTGCAAACGACGGAGTTTAGATAGTATTTAAAAAACGAGGAGTAGGGTTGCTACTAAGCCACGCTCACTAGAATGATGTGCCACAGAAGCAAGGTCCATCTTTTACTAAAAATCTTAACTCTAGGGAACTGCAGATAACTATAATCTCCCAAATGAATAAAATGTCTTTCCAATCGTAACTTGGGCCGAAAAATGCACATGCGCGTTTCACTCTATCGTAGCAACTTCCATAGTACTCTTGGGGAAACCGTAAAAATGTAGGACTAAGTTGACCCTGGAGCCTTTTTCGTACACGACTCAGGTTTCTCTTACCTGTAACGGGGGAACCCTCCAGACTGATCAGCCCCTCGACCAGTCGGCAGGAAAGGCCTGCAGCGGCCACTCAACCACCGTACAGCGGTTACGGTCGCCATCTTTGACTTCTTCGCTGAGCATTTTGGGAAATCCCGCCCCCGACATTCAGGATCACCGAGGGAGGGAAACAGGTAGGCGGGCAATAGCTTCACTATAGGCTGGGACGGAACCAAACGAAATCAATCATGAAGTGGGAGGTTACAGCCTTATGTCTTAAAAAATTTTATTACAGAAGCTAACGGCTCAATAAACTTCATTGGCCTTGTAGAAATTTTTCAGAGCGATTATGTTTTATATATCTTTTATTGTTTTCAAAGTAAGAGAGTGAAAGTCAAGAAATTTTTCTTTTCTCCCCCTACAGTGGAAGTGACCTTGTCCACGTAATCTCATCGCAGCTAGCGTTTTTCCTGCGCAAGCGTAGTTTGAATCACATGTTGCCTGCGTGCTGAAGGTTGAGTTAAGAATTTACCGGTGGTGATTTGGAACAGCTCTCTGGGTGTCGGAATTCGTAGCTGACCTGGAGGATGTTGGGCTCCAAGAACATGCCCTGGCGGCGGCTGCAGGGCATTTCCTTCGGGATGTATTCGGCTGAAGAGCTCAAGTAAGGAGATGGTGGAAAGCATGCACAACTCCTCTTGAGTTTGACGCTCTGAACTACTGTTCCCAGAAGGTCTTGCACCCAGCATATCCTCTGAGTCCATGATTGTTTGGCGCATGGCCTTTTGGGATCAGTAGTTCCGGGAGAGCTTCTGGGCCGACGTGCACTGCCAAGGAAGAAGGTGTGATTGGGGGAGCAGGTAGCGGGGGCAAGGGAGCGAGAGCTGGTGAGAGTTGAGGGAGTTCGCTTCGCAGCATTGTCATCTGTCGATCTGCTAGTTAATTAAGCGGTTGTGGAGCTGGTATAATGTCCTCTGTGCGGCTAATTAAATAATTCGTCTGCTCTTGTCTAAAATAATGATCCTGAAGGTTGGCTGTATTCTCTTAATTTTTATTGGGAGCTCTGGTGGCATAGTGGCTAAAGCACTTGACTGCTAACCAGAAGGCTGGCGGTTCAAACCCACCAGCCACTCCTCGGAAGGAAGGTTGGGCAATCCTACTTCCGTAATGATACTGCCTCGGAAACCCAAGGAGGGGTCGCTATGAGTCGGGGCCGACTCGACGGCACATAACAGCTCTTTAGTCTTAATTTTGATTACGGTAGTGTTTAGCATTCTCTTCTAGGAACTTTTCACCAGACCCAGTACCATATTGTCTTCAGGTTCTCTTTCCATTAAAAAAATTAATACGTCAACGAGAGAACATTTTTCACTCTATGTACTTAGTGGAAATTTTGAAGTAAATCTGTTTTTTAAATGCTTTGTCCCTCTCTTACTCATTTAGAAAATATACGTTGAGTAAGAACTATGTGCAGGTTCTGCTTTAAGTATTAGGGTGTAGTGTAGCTCAAGGTAGACAGATTCTGCCCTCGGGAGCTGTCAGTGTGTCTGAGGGGACAGCTATTAAATAATTAATTATTTGACTTCATTTTGTAATCGTAAAAAAGAACCTTCTGAGAAGCTGATAAAAGTTTTTTCTTCATCTTTTTTTTTTTTTTTTTAATTTCTAGGAAATTAAGTGTTAAATCCATTACGAATCCTCGGTACTTGGACAGCCTGGGGAACCCATCTGTGAATGGACTGTATGATTTAGCTTTGGGCCCTGCAGATTCGAAAGAGGTGTGCTCCACCTGTGTGCAGGACTTCAACAACTGCTCCGGTCACCTGGGCCACATTGAGCTCCCACTCACGGTGTACAACCCTCTCCTTTTTGATGTAGGTCCTCCTCTGGGCTGCCCTGTATGTGTGTGTCTCAGCGATGCTGGCGGGATTTGTGATTACCACCTCTTTTCCTGCAAGAAGTATATGACAAGGTTAATCTCCAGATGCTTTGGAGTTGAAACATTCTTTTGTATGGGATTTAAATCCTTGAGGAGCCAAGTCTGGTGAATTCAACTTGGCCTATAGCCCCAACTAAATGAATTTCAGTTGACTTGACTTCAGTTGGAGAGCCAGTGTTTTATTCTAGTCACATGGGTGGAAAGAGTATTCAGGTTCGTCCCGTAACATTTTGTTTCCAGGGTTTCAATTCCTTCACATATCTAGGTGATGCCTCCTTGGCAATAGAGTGACTTTTGGTGTTCTCTAGGTCTACCTTTCTTGGAAGGAGGGTTGGGCAATCTACTTCGGTAGTGATACTACCTCGAAAACCTAAGGAGGGGTCGCTATGAGTTGGATCCAACTTGACAGCAGCGAGTTTGGTTTTTGGTTCTTTAGGTCTACCTTTGGGAGCTCTGGTAGCATCGTGCCTAAGGCATTTGAATGCTAACCAGAAGGCTGGTGGTTCAAAGCCACCAGCCACTCCTCAGAAGGAAGATTGGGCAATCTACTTCTGTAGAGATAACACCTCGGAAACCCAAAGAAGGGTCGGTCTGAGTCCAATTAACTCAATGGCAGTAAGTTTGGATTTTTGGTTAGGTCTAACTTTGAGCTCTCCAGGCTTATTACTTGGTGACAGGGAAAGCAAACCCCAGAAGACCAGACAGAAGATAAGAATATAGCTACTGTGTAGAGTCCTATTTGTACATTTTCAGATTTTTTTTTTTTTTTTTTTCCATTTTTCAGCTTTTTATGTCAACTTAGCCCTCAGGATTTTAAAAGATTGTGTAGATGACAGTGTGAATGCACATGCTACTTGTCTGTTAATCATATTAAGGAAAGAAAATTGTCTTAATTAAATACTTTGAAAGAAATAAAGATAGTTCCCTACCTTGGAACATATACTCAAAGTGTTTTTTAAAGTTTAATGATAAAAATGAAACCATAAGAGAAAATGAACCCACCCACTGCCATCGAGTCAATTCTGATTCATAGCAACCTTTTAGGACAGAGTACAATTGCTTCATAAGGTTTCTAAGGCTGTAAATCTTTACAGAAACAGACTGCCTCATGTTTCTCCCGTGGAGCAGCTGGTGGGTTTGAACTGCTGACCTTTTGATTAGCAATCCAATGCTTTAACACTATGCTACCAGAGGTCCATTAAGAGAAAATATTGTTGTTGTTGTTATTTGCCATCGAGTCAGCCCCGACTCATAGCAACCCCTCCTTGGGTATCCGAGGCAGTATCGCTACGGAAGTAGGAATGCCCAACCTTCCTTCCGAGGAGT